CACCTGAAAGAGGACCGTTAGAAGATAAAAAAGAAGGGCGCCATACATTACCTTGACGGGGCGCAACTGGATCGCTGCTGAGACTCAAATCTAAGCTAAGGTTCGATGAGTTCGCCATTTTTTTTCAACGATGTTCAAAGAGAAGGGGTGGATGGAGTTAAAATTTCACAAAGGGCTGGAGTCGAGTTTCAGGAATGGGAAATCTTCAGAGTGTGTGTGTAGGGGTGATTGATAGCTCTATAAAAAGCCAAGACGACGCGTCCACCGATTCAAAGAGCCAGATTTTCCGGCGTAATTTAGGCGACGCTCCCTCGGCTTTTCAGAAAACGCGTTCAACTTTGTCAAAAGATTTCTGACAAAGCTGAAAACACGTGGAGGCCATCATCGCATCTACACATCTTTAGCCGACAAGCGCAAAGTTCGGCGACGCTTTCTCTGCTTTTCAGAAGACGCGTGCAGCTTTGTCAAAAGGAGCCGCATCTGCACTACCACGTGTCGTTCAGAAAGCGAAGGGGCGTCGTTCAGAAATCGAAGGGGCGCCTGCTCAGAAATCGAAGAGGCGTATTCAAAGATCGAAGAGGCGCCACTATTTCAAAGAGCCGGATTTGCGGGATCAAAACGTTTGTCGACAAGGGTAAAAAGTACCACCACTTGATATTATCTCTATATATGTCGACCTTCGTCTTTTATGGCAGGGCAAACCTGAAGAAAATGCCCAACTCTCCCTCACCTCTGAGGGCGCACTCCCAGCAAAGCCTTTCAAAATACTCAATTCTTTCTTCTTCCCCAAAGATGATACCAGATGCCTGGAGTACATATGACCCAGGAGGAAACGGCGGATTGAAGCATGTGCTGATTCATTCACCGCTTCTTCAAAGCAAAGGTATCTCATATCATCAAGGTCAAAAGCAAAAGTATCTCATATCATGCTCTTTCCCTGTCTTTTTCTTTGTCCTTGTTCTTACTTGCATGGCAAAGTAAAAGAAGCAATCAGCCGGCACTTGGAGTCAGTCTTCCGATCTGGAGCCAACTGCCTGGAATCTATTCCTGATTGCTTACCTAGCGTTGCTCTCGAGTAGTCATCTTCAACGGTTGTTACACTTCCAGAGAAGGGACCACTCCTCCAAAGATTGAACAAAGAAACAGATAACAGGAGGAAGCTCAGACCTTCGGGGGAAACCAAAAGAACCATCCTGCTGCCCAGTTCAAGAAGTAGCACAAAGGAAAATCAACGATGGGCAGAAACCAGTTCAAGAGTAAGCCTGTGGAATCACAAAGATCAAAGCCTCAATGTAATCACCAAGGAGAAGAGGGAATTTACACTCCATAACCAGATTTGCGTCCCTAAACTCTTCTCTTTGTTAATTACATTATGCCATGTTTAATATGTTTAGTTGCTTTTTGTGTGTTTACTTATGTTTTGTGTGAATCTATGCTTAAAACATTGAGGACAATGTTTGATTTAAGTGTGGGGGGGGGGTAACTAAAGTGTTTTGATGCAAATTCGTAGGGTTTTATCCACCATAACTTCTAATGTTGTTCCTTGCTATTTTAAGGTGTTTTTAAGTTGTTTTAGAGTGTTTTAGTGTGTTTTGTTTTATAATTCGAAAATCCCATAAAAATTTGAAAAATTGTTTTGAAAAACCCAAAAAGAGTTGTTTTAAAGTTGTTTTTGTGTGTGTGTTTGTGTCTTAGGGTACCTTCCAACACAATGATAAGGATTTGGTTTATAATTGCATGACGGTTAGAAAGAGTTATAAACATAGAGAAAAGTTTGATTTACTCTTGGTATATGCTTGGTTATGGTTATAATGTATGACTTCACATGCAATCATAAAAGAAAAAAAAATTCGTTTTTGTAACATGCTTGAAGGAAGGAACTCAAACAAACGCTACAACCCTGAGAGACTTGAGCCTATAACGTTCTTTGGAGAGTATAATCTGTGATTTCTTGTTTTCTAAAGTCGTTGCATGATCTCATTATTCTTTGCTTGGTTACTACTTAGAAGGCGTTTTATCATATAGTTCCAAATGCTAGAACTCATGCCCATTTCATTCAAAGCATGTTATTGATTTGCATAACACATATTCAAGAAGAAGTTGTGTAGTGACCACCACCATAGCCAAATAGCCTTACTTCCCATACTTCGTATATGTTGTAAGTTTTAACCCCGTTGAGCCTTGTTTAGCCTTTATTCTTTGTTTACCCACATTTTCCTCACCTAGCCTAGTTTAGGACAATCCCCACCCTTGTTCTTAAAAGATAGTGAGCATGACTTAATTGAATTCCTTTTGAGTTACATTATGAAAGAAAATAAGTGTGGGGGAGAGAATGTTTAAGTGTTGATGTTTTGAGATTCAAAAGAAAAGAAAGAAAAAAGAGAAAAGAAAGAAAGAAAGAAAAAAAAAAAGAGCTTGAAAAAAAAAAAAATGAAAGAATAAGTGATTGAAGAAAGGTTCCAAAACACCAATTCTGGGCGTAAATTGTCTAAATCCTCCCTTTTTGTTCAAAAGTTGAGTTTTCATTCAAAAGTGAATTCTAAGTTGATTCAAATGCTTTGCTCACTATTTCTTTAAAAACCTTTGTTTTCCATATCCCTTCTTTGTTATCCACATACCCCAAGCCCCGTTACAACCCTTGACTTCTATCTTGAGTGTTGTGTATTTCAATTTGTGGAGTTTGAACTTGGTATGAGCATATGGTATCACTGGTTCTCGCGTCTAAGTAGTAGCATTCCATTCATGAGATCATATCTAAACATGCTTATTAACTCCAGAAATTGCTTCCTTTGAAATACATATATGTGAGTGTTCGTTTTTATGATTACATCAATCTTCTCACATATAACTAGTTTAGGGTGTGTAGTCAGAAAATCTGTGTGAAAAACGAGAGCATATCTTGTAAGGAATTGAGCAAATTCTCTAAGGCATGTTACTACATTCAAAATATAGTTTTAAATGCTTAATTGTGAATTAGTATGTGGTGACTATGATTAAGAATGTACTTAAGTGTCAAGATGGCTAAAATATGTGGGAATAATGATTTTTAACTTGTCTTGTGCATTGGAAATCCGTGAGACGATTGTTGGAAGGTGTAGGTTGTGTTTTGTTCTTTTTGTTTTGTTTTTCTGTTTTGCTCGAGGACTAGCAAAAGCTAAGTGTGGGGGTATTTGATAGGAGCATATTTATGCGACTTAAATGGCTTGTTCTTGTACATTTACGTTATGTTTCTTTAGTTATTTTAGTACTTTAAGCTATTTTCGTGTGTTTGTAGGTCCAAAGGGCTAAAGGAGCAAAAAGATGCATTTTGGGGACTTTTGGAGCACTTTTGGGCTAAGGACGGATAGCTTATGCTTGAAGCCAAAGTGTTGGACGAAATTGAAGACCTAATTGGAGCCAAAGTGTTGGAACCTTGTTCTCTTTAGTTTTAGGACATTTAAACCTTTCCTAATCCCAATCATGCCATGCATAACACACATCCATTCTAACACATTGTCATTGCACATGCATTTCCTTCATTAGTTAACCCACATGCACTTATCACTTATCATCACCACATATCATATCACTTAATCACTTATCACTTATCATCACCACTTAACCACTTATCATATCATAACCACATATCATATCACTTATCACTTATCACTTAAAATATCATCCACCTACTTCACCTACAACATCCACCTACTTCACCTACAACATCCACTTACTTCACCTACAACATCCACTTCACCTACAACATCCACCTACTTCACCTACAACATCCACCTACTTCACCTACAACATCCACTTCACCTACAACATCCACCTACTTCACCTACAAATGACATAGCCATATGTTCCCTCCACTACTCCTATAAATACCCTTGCATTCATTCATTCATGGACATCTCATTTCATACACAACACACCACAAACACATCCCTTTCTCTCTTAGCCGTGAGTCTCCCTTAGAATCCAAAAACCATCTTTCCATTTCCATCACTCCTCACTCCATTCCACACTTCCATTCCCCCAAACCAACTATCCTTAGACCTTATGCTACAATAAAGAGGAAGAGAAGAAGGCCTAAACGTTCATACAATTCAAGTTTGAGTTGTTGGAATGTTTAGGTGTTTCTTTGATTTCAATGTTTAATTTTAATTCTCTTTGTTTTGTATGAGGAACTAAACCCCCCCTTAGCTAGGGGGTGATTCGAAATCTTTTTATTATGCAAGTGTAACATATGTGGAGATGACCCCCTTAGCTATTCTATCATCCATTCATTCCATTTCATCAATTTCATATTTACATTCTGTTTTAATTTGTTCATTTAATTTAATTTCGTATAAACTTAAATCCCCCTTTACTTTAATGTCAATTTAGTTAGAAATCATTTTAGTTTGTGTTTTTTAAAAGCATTTTGAGTTCTTGGTTTGTTTTAGAGTTTTAAAGTTTAGTTTTACATTCTTTGAGTCTAATTTAGTGTTTTATATTGCGTTTTTACGTTTTTGAGTCAAATCCAAGTGATTAACAATCCCTCCTAATCCCCGGTCCAGAACGATCCCTACTTATACTTATACTACAATTTGACGAAAAGAGGGTTTAATTTGTGTGCGTATAAATCACGCATCAGTTTCTCTGCAGACTAACAAAGAGATACCAACAAATAATCAAGAGATTTACCTGTCGATCAAAACCTGAAACTTCTTGTGAGCCGGCTTTCTAGCTAGATATATACTCCATACTCTTAAGACAAAACCTTTCTTGAAGCATAGTTAGCTCCAACTGACAAACACTTAACGCTAGTTAACATGTATTAAATTAACAAACTTACAAGAGTTTATCCTCTTTGGAGGGCAAAACAAGAACACCTCATAAAACATCGAAAATTCCATCTCCTAATTAAGCAATTTAATTAAGAGCACACACTCCCTATAAAGTCCTCCACATCTTCCTCATTGTGTTATATACCACAAACTCAAGAAAATCATATACACAGGGGAGAATCGATAAAGATGTTGACGGAAGATGTTGTTCTTTTGGACTGCTGGGTTAGCCCCTTCTGCATGAGGGTGAAAATTGCGTTGGAGGAAAAGGGCATCCAATATGAAGAGAGAGCTGAAGATCTATTTGGAGGCAAGAGTGAGCTGCTGCTCACATCCAACCCGATTTACACCAAGGTGCCCGTTCTGCTTCACAAGGGAAAACCAGTGTGTGAGTCAAGCATCATCGTCGGCTACGTTGATGAGACCTGGGCTTCTCCACCATTGCTCCCATCTTCCCCTTATGCTCGTGCTCAGGCCAAGTTCCAGGCCGACTACATTGACAAAAAGGTTAATTGGTTTCTTTTATATACGATTTGAGATTTGATTAGGTCCTCTCTTCGGTCGATGTTTCTTTTTTGTTATCAAATTCGTTTACTAAATGTTCGGATTTTTAAGTATTCAAAATCTACGTTTGATCACTTTGAATCTTATTTATTTCTATCAATTAGTGACATGAGGATACACTAATGGTGAACAAAAATGAGCTTTTTAATCATGCAAATATGAACTTACATTTTTAACAAGTGACACAGTATTACTGTCATATCATTGGGTAACCAAACCTTGATGACCCAATAGTAAGCAGCATGTTTGTATACATAGGTCTAACTTCATGACTGTATACATGAAGCTGTTCGATGCAGGAAGCAGTATATGGAGGACCAAAGGAGAAGCACAAGAGGTAGCTGTAAAAGACTTCATAGAAGTCTTAAAGCAGCTAGAGAAATTTCTCGGGGACAAAGATTTCTTCGGTGGAGATAGCTTTGGTTTCGTTGACATCATAACGATCGGTATAACGAGCTGGTTCTCTGCATATGAAATATTTGGAAACTTCAAGGTTGAAGACCACGCACCAAAGTTGTCAGCTTGGATTAATAGGTGCATGCAGAGAAAGACAGTAGCCAAAGTCATTCCAGACCCAGAAAAAGTCTATGAATTCGTCATCAATCTCAAAAAGATGATGGGTTTTGAATAGATATCGAAAATCCTTACTTCGTTGATGATCGGATTTACTAGTACTTTGTGTATTTGATTTCTTAATTTCTGTTCTAATACTTTGAAAAATAAGGAACAAATAATCATTTTCCTTCTTGATCAGTTGCTGTAACGTATGAGAATAGGAAAATGAGTCTTCTCAAGGGGGACAGTTTGAAAACTTTTGTTTTCAGCGAAATAAATGGAACTTTGTGACAAGTTATGATTTTGTAATTTTGGTCTCTCTCTTTAAGTAAAGTTGCAGTGTTTGTAGAATATCGCTTGCATTTAAGAAAATTGTGGCAGTGTTTTGTAGAATATCGTTTGCATTTAAGAAAATTGTTGCAGTAGTGTCTTATGTATTTTTCTTTAATGTACTACAATGTTTGAAGTCAAATGAATTTGCGGTATTTTTCTGTTTCTTTTGGTTTTAGATGAGTTTGGTGTCTTTCTGTATTTTTCTTTTAACCTGCTAAACCCTAACTCAATACTTTTGTTCCCCCTTTATTTTGCATTACTCACTCTCACTCAAACCACCTCTTAGGCTCATCCTCCCTCTTCCTCAAACCCAACCTACCTCCTCCTCTCCAAATAGTTCTCTCTCCTTTCCGACGCTGAGACTGTCGAGGCTTTCATTGCTTAATCGTTGAAGGTCTCAATGCCAAACTTTTTCAAGGGGTGGGATATGTGAATTATCCAATTGAGATAAGGGGAGAGCTCCATTTGGATGCATACACATATATGATCCAAAAGATTCTTTGTAAATATGATCTTCAAATGAAGATTAAGAAATTGAACGGTTATGCTTATGAAATTTATATAGTGTATATACGTTATCTGTAATTTATAATTCTAAGTTACAAGCAATATAAATAGAGAGCCAAACCGCAAGTAGCAAGGTTCCCATCAAATTTCACCCCTCCAACTTCAACTTCTGTGCTATCTGAAGGGCGTGTGGGTGCTCCCTTATACAAATTGATGTAAATAGAAGATTTGGTTCAGATTACTAACAGGATATCCATGTATAAAAAGTCAAAATCAATTTTGTCTTCGGTGGCAGATTAAGGAGTCAAAATACAAATTTGATTTCATTCTTTAAGGTACCCTTAATTTTGTGCTGATTCATCCCTAACTGTGCTCCTATAATTATGCATCCCTAAACTCTAACCTTTTCCCATTAGGAAAGCACTAAAATATGGCGTTACAGAATCAAATTTTATCAAATCCATATTTAAAAAACAAGATTATGGCCACTCAGTACTATGGTTTGGTGGTATTCCTCTTCACTTGGAAGTGAGAGGTTTTAGGTTCGAATCTTATGGATGACGAATTCGATATCAAATTAGACTGCCTATTGTGTGACTTAGTTGAACTTCTCATTCCCTAAAAATATCGATGTACTAAAAAAAAAAAAAGATTATGTTATTTTCAATTGCTCTAAGCAAGGGAAAAGGGTAGGTTGCATAATCACCCCAATACCAAACATTCATGTGTAATTTAACTCGCTTAATCTTTTAATACATTAGAAAAATATAAGATTCATGTGTAGTTCCTCTCGCTTATCTTAATCATATAACAACCAATGCAGTCCTACAAAATAGAAAACAAAAGGAAAAAAACACCATAAAGGAAACATAATCTGTCACTCATTTTTGCCTCTATTATCATTATTATTGCTTTTTTTTTAAAAAAAAAGTTTAAAGTGGTCAGACTGACTGACCCATCACTGCATTCTTGCTTCTCACACGTTCTCTGATTCTGTGGGGAAATTCAAGCCTTTCTTCTTCTTCTTCTTCTCCTCTCTTTCTCTCTCCAAAAAACAGAAATGGACGAACATTCTTTGTCAACTGTTGCATTTGACAGAGCAGTACAACAGGTTTCCTCTGCTTACCCTTCTTTTTTCCTTTTTCCATCCTCATCATATCCATCAATGTATTTAAATTCTGCATCTTTTACATCAATTTTCTTTTAATATTTATGGGATTTAGTATCGTTTATTGGTACTTCAGAATTTTTCTTGTGGTACAATTCACATTTCTTTTCAGTTGTTTAACCATATATCACTGAAGTCTGGAGATACAACTGATTTGAAGCCTTTGTTTAGTAAAATAATCATATTTTAATTGCAGTTCTTTAAGTTAAAAATTATTTTCTTTGAAGATATCTCTTTTGGGATTTCAAATACGTTGCGAGTTGATATGAATCCATAGAACCAAAAGTTGTGTGGGGAACCATCTACTTGTTAGAATAATATAATAATTTTAAGATTCTAGTCGCATGTTTACCGTTATTTTGATAATATTGTGAATTTTAAGCAAGTTGAGTAAGAAATAGATTGAAGTCTTTGAGTCTTCTCTTCCCATTTTCCCAAGCTCTCCTTCTCGTCTGATTTTCGCTTTATGTCCGGTAAAAAATTCCATTTTGATGTTTGAACAGGCAGTTGTCTCTATGAAGAGGGGTGCTTATCTGCTGAAATATGGACGAAGAGGGAAGCCCAAGTTCTGCCCTTTCCGGCTTTCCACGGTAGACTTCTGTACTGTAACTTGGTATCAATTATTTCAATATGTACAATCTTCTTGTAGCTCTGGATCAATGCTCATGAAATTTGATTGAGCTGTCTGTTTCTGCAGAACACTACTTAAATGTATTATTACAATTGTCTTTTGGTTGGTAACAAAGGTATCCTCAGCCCAGAAAAAATCCCATGGGACTGACTCTCATGGGGTTAATTTAAGATTTTAGACCATTTTCTATGGCATATTATCAAACAACTTGCTTAACCTTTCTACACTGTGTAACATTTTCTTGGCCAACCGCAAAACCTTTGTTATAGCTTAACTTTTACACATTTGCGATGTGGTGATTGATTACCAGGAGGGTGCTGTAAGATTTATAGTCTACAATATTGCCAGCTTGGAAAACGTATTTCTCGGCAATTGTTTTGAACATGTTCATTAAAATCCAGCATGAAGAGGAACTATTTTACATGCTGATGTCCTATTTACCAAATCTGTATGATCTATTAATCAGTATTCAACTTTCGTGCTACTTGCATTGCTACTCTTTTTTGAAGTTAGAATTGGAATCTGACAATCAATTGGTTCATATCCCCTTGATAGCAGTACAAACGTTGATCCAGTTACTAGTTTTAGTCCCTTTATTGCTACCAAGCAGAGTAATGATGGATACCTGAGTTTCACTTTTTTCTGGATGTCAGGATGAGAAGTTTTTGATATGGTGTTCCAGAAAGAAGGAAAGGCAATTGAAATTGAGCTCAGTCACAAAAATTATACCCGGGCAGTGGACAGTATGTAATTCAGATTGACGTCAGATTTTAACTTGTTTTATTTAACTCTTAACATCACACATTGTTTAGCAATATGCTTCTTTGCTCTATATCATAGGCGGTTCCACTTATGACAGGTTAGTTTACAGGGGAAACTGGAACCAGAAAGGAAGGGTCAATCATTTTCAATTGTCTATGCACACAGTGAATGTTCACTTGATCTGGTAATCTGATGTCTCGATTTAAGTCTATTTCTTCAATGCCTTACGATCAGTAGTTCCTTTGCTCATTGTATCTCATTAATCTTTATTGTTCATTTTATATAGATGTGCAAAGATGAAATCCAATGTGATCTTTGGATTTTAGGGTTGAGGGCTTTAATATCCCTGCATCGCCATCCTAGACCACTTAATAATTTGGGGAGTTTCAGACAGGTGCAAAGTTGTCTAAATAGTCCGGCAGGTCTTTTTAGGAGAAGGCAAACTCTTGGAATAGTGGATGATGGCAACGAGTTCTCCCAGGTTTTTATACCTTTTACATTTTTCTCGTTTCTCCAACTATTCTATTGTTCAATAAGTAGCATATCAATATCTGAGTTTAGTTTTAATTTAGTTAGACCATGTTAGGAGATGCATTTTTAACCATCATTCAATTTTTCGTCTATTGATTTTTTTGAAGGTGAGAAGCGTATGCAGGAGTCCTACTTTAACACCTTCTGAGAGGTGTATTTCTGATGGCATATCTTTTTCTTCTGATAGCTTTTTTTCGTCGGAATCAGTCCTATCAAATATGCAAAATGTAATGGACATCTCAGTTCCAGATTCTCCATATATTGGATCAGATTATCTCAAGAGGAAGCGAATATATTCTGATGCCGACTGTGAACCTCCCAGGTTTGTTTCCTATGCCTATGGAACCTCAAGAATTGAAAAGGACAATATTTTGAAAGATGTCATGATCTGGGGTGAAAGTATTGGAGGGAATGTAAGTGGATTGCAAGCAGATTCTTTACTGCCTAAGTTATTAGAAACAACTATGACGATGGATGTACAGAATATATCTTTAGGAGGGAAGCATGCTGCAGTAGTTACGAAGCAGGGGGAAGTGTTCTGCTGGGGTCACGCTAATGGGGGAAGACTAGGGCACAAAATCAATATGGATGTGAGCAACCCTAAACCTGTTGACTCCCTTAATGGGATCCAGGTGAAATCTGTTTCGTGTGGTGAATATCAAACATGCGCTCTGACACATTGTGGTGAGCTCTATACATGGGGAGACACAAGTTGCGGTGCCAGTTTAGAGGCCGAGGAGAAGAGTTTCAGTCAGTGGTTACCGCATAAACTTTCTGTTCCGTTGAATAAAATAAATGTATCATATGTCGCTTGTGGGGAATGGCATACAGCTATGGTGTCCACTTCTGGGAATTTATTTACATATGGAGACGGAACCTTTGGGGTACTGGGGCATGGAAATCTTGATAGTGTTTATCAACCAAAGCAAGTAGAATCTCTCAAGGGTTTATGGGTAAAATCTGCTTCGTGTGGTTCATGGCACATGGCTGCTGTAGTTGAAATCATGGTTGATTGTCTCAGGTCCAATTCAATTGGTGGGAAGTTGTTTACATGGGGTGATGGGGATAAAGGGAGGCTAGGACATGTGGATCATGAGAAGAAGCTTTTACCAACTTGCGTTGGGCAGCTTGTGGATCATGATTTTGTTCAAGTTTGTTGTGGAAGAATGTTGACTGTTGGGCTTACCAATAAAGGTGCAGTTTATACAATTGGAAGTTCAGTACATGGGCAGTTAGGGAATGCTCAAGCCAAGGATAAATCAATCACATTGGTCGAAGGGAAGCTTAAAGAAGAGTCTGTTAGAGAAATAGCATCCGGTTCATATCATATAGCTGTTTTGACAGCCAGAGGAAATGTTTATACCTGGGGAAAGGGGACTAATGGACAGTTGGGATTAGGTGATATCAACGATCATAGCACACCAACTTTTGTGGAGGCTTTGAGAGACAGGCAGGTAGAAAGTGTTGTTTGTGGATCAAATTCAACAGCTGCAATCTGCTTTCACAAATCTATTTCTGTCAGCGACCAGTCAGCTTGTTATCGATGCAACCTGCCTTTTGGGTTTACTAGGAAGAAGCACAACTGCTACAATTGCGGTCTTCTATTCTGCCATTCTTGTAGCAGTAAGAGGGCTATGGATTCTTTGCTGGCACCCAAGAAAGGCAAGGCTTTTCGAGTCTGTGATTCATGCTTTAGCAATCTGCAGAAACTTACACATTCGTGTAGATCATTCAAGCAAGAAAATCATAGTAGCATGAAGCTATTGACAGAAGAAAAGTCAGTCCCAGATGGGAAAGAAGAAAAGGCTGGAGAAACACCTAAGTACGGTCATCTATTATCTATCAAACAGGCTTGTTACAAGAAACGCCAGTCTCGTGTGAGGACCACCACCATGAAAAACCAAGAAGGAAACCAGCAGCATCTAGAACCGGCTTCTTCATCCTTGAGCGAAGAGCCACGATGGGGCCAAGTCTCATGCCCTGATCTATTTAAACCGTATTATAGAGAAAATTATACAGCACTTAACTCTCTGTCAAAAGATCATTTATCTTCCGTCGTCCCAGTGCATTCAGAATCCACAATGTCCGGTGCCACTAATGCAGAGAAATGCATATCCATGTCAGATGAGATGCTTATTGAAGAAATTCAGCGGCTGACAGTTGAGGTGATTCTGTCTTATTAATTTTGTTGCTTATGTTCGTATCCATTTTTATTCTTATTCTTTGGTGTATGCACACACATGAAAACTTGTCAGTGTTTGGTTCCTAGTTTTGAACTTACAGTCACCATTTAGGCAATTAGGAAGGTTTGGCAAGTTTTACTACTTTATATAAACTTTTTCTTAAACTGATGTTTGTACTCTTTCAACTAGTTGTATAAAAATATATTTTTATAATCTTTTGCATCTGTCATTCACTTTGCTCATAGTAGGCACACAACCTTGAAAGGAAATGCAAAATTGGAAGCCAGAAGATTCATGAATGTGAGCAGAAGACTGAGGAAACATGGTCTCTGGCAAGGGATGAAGCGGCTACATGTAAGGCAACAAAGGAGGTTATTAAAGCTTTGGCATTAAGGGTAAATGTGTTGCTTCTCCTAAAAATTAGGGGGTTATGTTTATAAAAATGCTGTCGTTTTTCACTCTCTGACTTTCCATTTTGCTTTTGAAGGAAGTTCATGCCTGCTTTTTACGACTTGATTTTCATTTTTGTTCCATGTTTTACAGTTGTCACACACTTCTCTATGGCATGGAACTTGTAGAAATTGTACTTGCTGCCTTATCATTCGATATTATTCATATCTGGCCCTTCTTATTATCTGTACTTTTACAATTCTACCTTGTTTATGCACACTCATAATCCTACTTTCAATCTCTTCGAGAAGCCATTTTGCTTCTTTCCTTGGATCTTTTTCTGGTCGATGAATTTTCCCAAAATAATTAATCTTTCTATATGGATCTTGTAACTCCCCCTCTATCCATCCTTTATATAACTTTTCTGAAATGCTTTTCTGATACATAACAACGAGAGTTGCTTCACATGATTTTAAAATTTTAAACATAAACATAAACTTACCTTAGATTCTCACTCCCCCTTCTTTGTAGGTTTTCTAGTCACTAAATTGGAAACTTATCATGCATCTACCTTGCATTTCTTCAAATGATTAAAAAAACCACAATATTCAATTTACAAGATCTGAAAGTACATATAATTTATTTTGTGCAGCTTAAAACTAAAACTATTTCAGAAAAGGCGTCTGCTGGAAAGCAACCAAACAATGGAATAGATACAAAACTTCCTCAACTCACGCCACTAAATACAAATACACCACTTCCTGAAGTAGATAGTGTATCGGATTCGCCTGCTGTGTTGTCTGATATGCCGAAGTCAGAACCCCATGGTAGGGAAACTAAATCGGCAAAGCTTGAATGGGTAGAACAATTTGAACCTGGAGTGCATCTCACGCTTGTTGTGTTGCCAAATGGACAAAGGGGGTTAAAGCGAGTGAATTTTAGGTATTTTCTATCTGAATTATTCCATGTCTAGGTTATCACTATTTTGAAAATGATCTTACTGGCTATACTTACGCATTAATGATGTATGTTAGAATTAATGAATGGAAGGTAACCAATATAAGTTTGGGACATATCTTCTTCTTATCAATTATTAGGTTTAGTTTGTTTACGAGCATTTCCATCCTCTAGATTAAAATCCGTATTCATCTCTTTTCTTCAAAGCAAAAAATGCTTAGTTGTTGTCCTGTTTGTTACCTTATTATCCAAGAACACTGTATATATGTTGGTGTTATAATCTTATCAATTTAAACTGGACTATCGTTGCTACTTGGCGTTGTGTTTAGCAGCCAGAAAAAGTTCGCTGACAAAGATGTAGAAAGATGGTGGGAGGTAAATCAAGGCTTGATATACCAGAATTATGGCATTGAAGGATATGAGAACTCTACAGAAGATTAACTTTTAAGGGCTGATCTTTAATTACTTGCCCTTTGTATTTGGACGTGTGTACATCTACGGTCAATTGGCAGGCAGATTTTTACGTAGATTAACGTTGTAGGGAAGAAATTTATTGTGTTTATGCATTGGCTGCCGTCCATATGAAGTATCCTGCATGTGTAATCCCCATGTACAGGTAGTGAAACCCTAGTCTTCATTGACAATATGTGGCACCCTAAAGGATAAAGCTCTCATAGCCAAAACAACTGGAACTCAGAGAAATCTGTAAGTTTTAACTGTTAAATTTTCCACATTGCTGAGTTTTGCAGGGTGCCATTTTTCAGTATGTGGTTGGGCCTGTAAATCTCAGTGCAAAACCATGGACCCTTGTAATTGTTGGCATTTTCTTCTGGGAGCCCGGCCTTCTATATGCGTCTAAGGGATTTTCTGTTAGAGCGTGAGCATATAAACTAAGAAAATTGTTATTAGCACTTTAAAAAAATCATTTGGCACTCCAAACTTTCTATAATTAGAAAGAAAAATACACTTGTGAGGAGTGTAGAATGTGATTTTTGGAATGCTAATAATAATTCTCTAAACTAAAACCAAATGATAATAGAAGTGAGAGATCTATGTTAATTAAATCGCTAAGGAAATAGTTCATTTTTGGGAAATTTGGAAAAGTAACCATATTTTAGACCCCATATAGAATTATAGTCATTATTTTAGTTTTATGATGATTCTAATCAAAACTTGATGTAAAAGTACTAATATACCCTTAATGACAAAAAATTTCCTCATTACTCTTAACCATGAAAAAACAACAATTAGTTGAGATCTTGAAGTATAAAAGAGGTGGCCTCTTGAATACTACCCAATACCCCTACTCTCGAACCCCTCCATTTCCTACACTTCTTATTTTATTTTTATCAATATATATAGTAGATATAGATATTCAAATGTAATTAGAGAACGTGAGAATTGAAGATAACCAAGTAAACTAAACATAAAAATTAATCAAGAACTGAATCTCCAAAGCAAAATTTGAATATAAAAATAGAGGAGCAAAAACTCTTTTAAGCTAAAATCTGTGTGAGGTTTTTCTGCTAAATTGGTGATTGAAAACATAAAAGCCAATAATGTGATAAATCTCGAATAATATAAAAGCCAATAATGTAATAAATCCCAAACAAAAATATTTACATCATGTGCTGGAATGGAGTCTAATTGGATTCTTGCAAGTTTGGCGATTGTGGCCTGTCCCACCATAGCGATTGCACTTCTTCACTATCCTTTCCTCCCCCTAAGATGAGATTCTGTTTGTCTTGCGTCTTCGAGATACAACTTGTCTAATTGGAGGTAACACAACTCTATTTTGCACCTCTTCCGGCACACTCCATTCACTCTTGTTTCCAACCGCCCAAATGGGCTTCGTATACGCTAACACAATTGCATTGGCTGTGTAGAATTTGGAGCACATATTGTACACTGATGTGTTGTGAATTCGACATGCAGCAGTTGCATAGATACATGGAAGTTGGTTGAGATCAAACTCCTACATGTGCATGACTTGGCATTTAGATCAACTATATGATATAAGTCTGCACATTATCAAAATTGGTATTGTCATGATAGTCATCAGTAAACTCAAAACTCACATCTATTGAAGTCTTACTAATCTGGGCATTGTCTTGAAGAACTTGACTTGGTTGTTCATCACCCAAAATGTCATCATTCTCTTGAATTGCCACTGTTGGTGATGGGGAACTGCATGCAATTGGGTGTTCATCTTCAAATTCATTTAGAGGATATGCTGTAACATATAATGGAATCTTGTTCGGTTTTGTAAAAAGACTTTCACATACCCAACTAGTCACATCGTATTTTGCATCCCTAAGTTGCTCATGCATTGATAATGTACTGAGATTCTAAATTCACTCGGACTAACACGAAGACGTTTATATATACCATGTATAAGATCTTGATGAGTAACTTTGGTTGACACTACCATTGCTTTTGCTTGACCATCTGTGTATTGGCTATCAACCCTCCTCCATCTGTAGTGGACCACGGTCACAAATTGAGTCATATTTTGAAGGAAAATAAAATTAATTAGCGCATCTAACTAACTTGCAAATATATTAAAATTAGGAAAAAGTTTTAGAGAAAAATTAATTAGTACATATAACTAACCTGCTTATGCAAAGTGCCGAAGAAACATTGATATGGTTGCTTTATTGGAGCTTCTATCTCTTAAATCAACTTGTTGATTTGTCGAAGGATTCATAATATATTCACCCACATTGGAACATGAAAATCATTAAAGTTTTGATTAAAATCATGATATGAAATATCAAAAAGTTGGTTTAGGAATTGGAAGCTACAATTGACCAACTATACCATTGTTTATTGGACAATTTGAAAAGGTTGCTACGTCCTGTTGCCTTTTTTTATGGTCAGAACATCCCTATTGCTTAATTATGCAAAATCGGCAAAGAGTGCTCTTCTAGTTTAAGGTGAGAAACCAGAAGGTTGCGAGATAGTTTAAAAAATGTTTTGTTTTTGTTGTGAGAAACCCTAATATAAGGGTATATTAATACTTTTACATAAAGCTTTGGTTAGAATTATCATAAAAATAAAATGGTGGCTATAATTCTATATAGGATCTAAAATACGGTTACTTTTCCAAATTTCCCTTCATTTTTCATTGTTGGACAACCTTAACACGCCATCTCATGTGTGGGGGTCGTTTAAGCGAAACATGTGAACCATATATATTTTTTCAACATTTCGTGAACTACATGTATGGTGATGCCCAAAAATAACATGTGCCAATAACATATTAGAATGTGAGCATTTAACCTAAAACCAATTAAAAGTAAGAGGGGTGGGTCAAAATTATCTTAACCATTTAGACAAAACTTTCTTTTTTGATGTGGGACAACTCTCAACACTTTCATGATCAATGTTGCCCATGTGATCATATAATCCTCTATCCATACGAGTGTAGGAGTCAATTTGAAAATATGTCTCTAATAGGTTTATTAATCGAGATAAATTTTGGGAAATGTTAACAACACTTCAAAGAAGTCATCCTACACTTCAAACATATAGAAATACTTACAAGAGAGGAAATATATTTGATAGGAGTGCATGATGACATTTTTGGTGTACCTTTAACAGCCCCTAATTTTTTTTTTTTTTTTTTTTTGGGGTGGTCGCCGGGGGGGGTGTGGTATAAGTTTCTATAAACATGTTCTATGTAGTGGTGGGTCCAAGAAATTTTCTTCTTCATGCCAAAAGGCAAGAATCTCGCATGCCATCCCGACTTGCCCTTGGTTTCGTATCATTCCTTGGCCTTACCCTCTTTGAGGCATTTTGTTGAACACTTAACCCTAGCAGCCATACTGACTGAGGACATCAAATGAACATACGTGTATGAATAACGGAGAATAGGCGGAATTACATACTTTTGCTAATAAACTTAGGCCACCTCGTTAAGTAATAGCGGTGGGATTAATTATACTAGAACCCACAAATTTGATATGTAGCAAAAAGAAGAGAAAAATAAAATGGAAAAACTGTTAGTTGGGTTGGGTAGCTAGCTTATACCAATGACTAGAAAAGACGAAAGGAAGATACTGATTAGTTTTCCAATCGGTTCTAATTAGGAACAAAAAGAGAGGAAGGAATGTTGGGGATGAGCATGTGAAAATGACAGTCTTGAGTTAGAACGCCGCCGAAATTCGTTTCCGCGATTTCTCGTTAAGAAAAGATAGATGCTTGCAGAAAAGGTCAGTAATGCCTCCAATAAGACTCCAAACGTGGACAATATGTTCCAAGAAAGGACAAGATCGAAGCATGGGATCAATGGAGAGAGAGAGAGAGAGAGAGATGGATTAAGCTTGTTAATAAAGATGGGAGGAATCATGATCATGTTGATTGGTTGAGGAAAAAGAAATGTGTAAAGTTAAAGTAGCCTAGAGAGGAAATATCAGGTGGGGGTGGGGTGGCAGCTTCCCCATCTTTATTTGCTTGCTTTTTCCATCGTTGCCTTTTTGTTCTCTTATTTACAAAACCCCAAGCAACCCCCACATTCCAACCTCTCTCCCTCCCAAGTTTTCCAGTCTCTTTCTCATTCAGTTCCCAGCTTTGGATCTTCATCTTCTTCTTCCTCTCCTAGCTAGCTAAGGTTGGTTTTTGCGTGTTTAATTGTACGTACAATAATATTATGTGTATTACGTATGATTTATTAATCATAAATTCTCTAATAACTAGGGTTTTGTGGCTAATTGATTGTTGCAGGGTGTTGTGGTGCGATTCTTGATTTTTATTGAGGAGACTTGTCATCCAAGTTAGCTAGCTATTAACATTTGTGCCCTTTTATTATCATCAAGTGGAAGAACAAGAAGAAGGTCCATCTGTATACATGGCTCCTGTTTCATTGCCTCCTGGTTTTAGGTTCCATCCCACAGATGAGGAATTAGTTGCTTACTACCTCAAAAGAAAGATTAATGGCCGTAAGATCGAATTAGAGGTCATAGCTGAGGTTGATCTCTACAAGTGTGAGCCATGGGACTTACCAGGTACTCCCTCTCTGAACTGTCTTTATAAATGGTTTTTCTAGTAGTGTATTTCTTTCCCTTTTTTCTCATTGTTTTATTAACTACTTAGCTTGTTAATTGTTCAAGTACCTCAGCTAATGTTTTAGGCTCAAATTTTTGGAAATGATTAATTGAGTTGAAATAACAATTACTAACATGAAGATATGACTCCATAATTGAATAATTGATTAAAAGCAGAATAATTTCAACTTGGCCTGAGTCTTTAAAACTGTTTACTTCCCCTACAATTCCTTATTTATAAATTTGTTTACATATAGAAGTCCAGTGCCAAAATATTAATTAAAATGAAGACGGGGACTTCAAAATGGATTAAGGGCGATGTGTTATGTATAAAGGAATTTGATCTTTTGCCTCCTTTAGGCATGCTTATCCTTTATTTGTATTCAACTATATTCATATCGAATATTTTTTATTTATTTAAAATAACTATTATTAAGGGAAGGAGGGAGAGTTCAAAGTTATGAGGGTGGGGGTTATGAAGGGGAAAAAGAGGGGGGGGGGGTGTGTTTTGAACCCAGGACGTATGGGTAGAAACCCAACACCCTATCCACGAGAACCATCATGGGGTGGCCTAGTGGTTGGGGACGAATTCCAG